ATAAATAAATAAATAAATAAATAAATAAATAAATAAATAAATAAATAAATAAATAAATAGGAAAGAGGGGATTTAACTCCAAACAGTAGGAGGCAGCAGTGAGGACAGAGGTAACGCGGACGCTTAAACCTCTCTAACGAGGATCAGTAAACAAAAACGAATCCGAACCGTGTACGTGAGTACACGTTGCGCTTGCAACTTTCCGTCCGTCGCTGCTGTTGTTGTTGTTTGCTGCTGTTGTTGTCCTACACGGCGCGCCGTTTCATCCCCGGGGGCTGGTGCTGGAAGGAGCCTCGAAGGGGCGCGGCAGAAGGGGCGCTTGCCTCACTCGGCTTCCTGCAGGCGGGGCGGGCTCTGCGCTCCGGGCCGCGCGATGACGCGCGCGCTCGCTCTCTCTCTCGGGTTGGGAGTGTCTGGCGGGCGCCCTGCCAGGTGACGTCTTCCCTGAAGAGCAGTCACGTGATCAACCCCCCATTCATAAAAAAAAAAAGTCGCCGAAGCGGAGGGCTGAGAGACTATATAAGAGCAGGTTGCGCCGCTCCGCCGGCAAGTAAACGGCGGCAGCAGCAGCAGCGAAGCAACGCGAAACGCAATCACGAGACTGCCAACGTTGGACGAGAAGGCGACCAAAGTCCACGCAAACAGCTGCCGCTCCCGCCCGCCACCCTCTTGGGGCACAGAAACGGGGAATAAGCAACAAAGAGACCTTTTTGGCACAAAGACGACGGGCGGGAGACAGGACGCGGAGAGGGGCGCCCGAGTTTTGCAAAGCGCCCAAGCCAAGACGAGCTTCCCGCCGAGAGCCGCCCACAAAGCGGAGCCCGCAGAAAGCGGACAGCCAGGCGAGGTGCCGGTGACCTTGGGCCTGCCCGGAGCGATGGTCAACATGCAGGTGTGCGCCCTGGACTGCGAGGCGCTGCGCCAGCTGCTGACGGACGGCGCCTTGCCCTGCCTGGTGCTGGACTGCCGCTCCTTCTTCTCCTTCAACTCCTCGCACATCGGCGGCGCCTGCAACGTCCGCCTGAGCACCATCGTCCGGCGGAGGGCCAAGGGGGCCATGGGCTTGGAGCACATCCTGCCCAACGAGGAGGTGCGCGCCCGCCTCCACCAGGGCAGGTACCAAGCCGTGGTGCTGCTGGACGAGCGCAGCCCGGACCTCGAGGCGCCCAAGCGGGACAGCACCCTCCTGCTGGCTCTCAACACCCTCTGCCGGGAAGCCCGCGACACCCGCATCTGCTTCCTCAAGGGTGAGTGTCAGCCCTGGGGAGCCCGGTGCCGCCCGTGGCCCCCTCCACCCTCCTTTCCTCCTCCCCCGGGGGGGGGTTAGATTTAGCTCTTCAGACAAAAAGCCCCTCAGAGGTCTTGGAAAAAAGGGGGAAGGAGAAAGAGCAAAAAACCAGGGGCACAGATTTAACCCCCTGGGCCGTTTTTGGGGCTTGAAGGATTACTGCTGATCTGAATTTCACCAAGGAAAGGGGGGAGCTGGTAATCTGTGGGGCTGGTGATCTGGGGACCTTAGGGAGTTTCCCCCATCCGCCATTCCAGCTGGCTTTGGAAACAGGCCTCCCCCAACCCCGCTTTTTGTTTCTAAAATATTAACTATTCCACTTCTTTTTTTCCAGGAGGATATGATGCCTTCTCTTCCATCTATCCTGAGCTGTGCACAAAGCCCTCTGCTCCAAAGGGCCTGACTCTGCCACTCAGCACCAACAACATGCCTGGCAGTGCAGATTCAAGCTGCAGCTCCTGTGGGACTCCTCTCTATGATCAGGTCAGTTGAAAAACATCCAGAAGCTTAAAAAATATTTATTCCCTACCTAGCTGGCTAATCTTCAAACTGGGCATCTGAAATGGCCGCGGTGGCGGGGTGGGGGAGGCAGATGTATATAAAATGTTGAACAGCCACGCTGTTTTAAGAATGTTTTGGTGTAGTAGACAGGAGTCCTATGGAGGCTGTGGGGGAAGGAAGCTATTTTTGCAGGGGGATTAACAGATCGTGTTCCTCTCTCCTCTATTTTAGGGTGGTCCAGTGGAAATCCTGCCTTTCCTGTATCTAGGCAGTGCCTATCATGCTTCCAGGAAAGATATGCTGGATGCTTTGGGGATCACGGCCTTGATCAACGTTTCTGCCAACTGCCCAAACCATTTTGAAGGGCACTACCAGTACAAAAGCATCCCTGTGGAGGACAACCACAAAGCTGACATCAGCTGCTGGTTTAACGAAGCCATCGATTTCATAGGTAAACGAGTTTTCTTTGTGCAGGATACTAGGTGAAGTCATGAGTTGCCAGTATCATCAGAAGCCAGCACCTCCAGCTAGTGATTTCCGTAGTGATTAAAAGAGTACAGTCTGACATAAATCTATACCTGGAATGATGCTTCTGCTCCCTTGCAAGGACAAGGCTCATGAAATGCCAGGAATAATCAAAGCTTTTTAAAAAGAAAGAGTTCTTGAATATGATAGCCAGGTTGTTGCAAACATCTGTCTAGATATCTGAGCCAGTCTCCCACTGGCAGTGTTTTCTAAAAGGATTTGTATCCTGAAAGCAAATCCTGGCTTTCCCCAGCAAGAATCGCTGGCTAATGAGAGCAGGTTATTACACACTTTCAGATTGAAATGGAGTATCCAAAGCTGACTTTCAGCCTTCCTTTGAACAGTAATCTTCCTTGCAAGCCAGGTGACAGGGCTGCTTTTTGGGTAGTGAAGAGAATTTGCCCCTTGAGTGCAGGGAGTGAAAAAGTATGTTCTGGGAAACCTTGCAAAGAAGGGTTGGCTAATCTTGATATTCTGCTCATTATTTCAGACTCTGTGAAAAATGACGGTGGGCGAGTGTTTGTTCACTGCCAGGCTGGCATCTCCCGCTCTGCAACTATCTGCCTTGCTTACCTTATGAGGACCAATCGAGTCAAACTGGATGAAGCTTTTGAGTTTGTAAAGCAAAGGAGAAGCATCATCTCTCCCAACTTCAGTTTCATGGGGCAGTTGCTGCAGTTCGAGTCCCAGGTCCTTGCTCCAAATTGCTCGGCAGAGGCTGGAAGCCCAGCCATGTCTGCCTTGGACAGAGGAACTTCTACTACGACAGTCTTCAACTTCCCAGTCTCCATCCCCGTCCACCCTTCTTCCAGTGCATTAAGCTACCTTCAGAGCCCCATCACCACCTCTCCGAGCTGCTGAAAGGTGTGTGCAAGCTGGCTCTCTGCACAAAGACCATCTTGCTGTTACCTGAAATGTGCAATAACTTTGGGGGTGGGTCTATGAGCTTGTGTGAGTCTCCTCTCACTGTATCTACAGAGCAATACAGAATTACCAGCACGGATCAGCATCTCTGTCTCCAGAAAGCAAGGTTCTTTCTGCTAAATGATCTTGCTGTGAGATGTATTCCCCACCCCACCCTGCCCTCACCCACCCCCTTTGGACCAATGTTTGGATTGCCTACAAAGGAGACAAAGCACACAGGACCTTGCTTTCTACTCCTGAAATATTCGTGATATGATTTTCTGTCTGTCAGTCTTCTGGTAGCAAATCTGGCAGTATTCTTAGTGCCTGGGTGAACTAGGCTCCAGTAACACTGTCCCCTTGTACAAGGAAGTCCTGGTATTTATTTATTTTTTAAGTGTTGTAATTGCATTGTGTGTTTTGCCTTTTGAAGTCTGAAGTTTCATCTTTTTTTTTTTAAGAAACCAATATACCTCAGTATTTTACTTTTTTGGGTACTGTAAACCTGTAAATACAACTTAAGACTGTTTCTGAAGCACTGACATTGAAAGCACAAAGGAGTGTTTGTGTCTTTTGGTTGCCACCGGTTGTTATGTTTGCAGATTTTATTTATGATGTGAAATAATATATTTCTTCTTATGAAAGAAGACATTGGTTTTGTTATGATTATGCCTTTTTTATACCAGCCAAATAAATTATGACATTTCTATTGAAGAAAAATATTCATTATTTAAAGATTCACTGCGGATGTGCTGAAAACAGCAAGCTACTATAGGAATGGCAGATTGCAGAAGCAGGAATCTGCATGTTAGCTAACAGGTTGCTCACAGCTATCCATGTCTTTTGGGCTGCTAGGAGTCTGGGTACCTACATAGCCCCCAATAGAAAGCCATGTGCCACAATTCAGTGAGGAGCAGAAATAATATCCTCTCCCCACCCTGCATGCTGCATATGACTTAAGAAAGTGAGGAGGAGAACACATACCCAGTATGCTGAGTGGCATTCAAAGCACATGATCAGTGCTGTCACTTGTAGCATCTGTGTGTGTGTGAGAGAGACAGAGATTGAGAGAGAGGGATATATAACTGCCAAGCACCAATACTGCTTACCACTAGGAGTGGTAAGTAGTTCAGCTAGTACATTGGGAAATGATTCCATTTCAGCTAATACACTGGGAAATGATGAAAGTTATTGAGAGCGAAAGAAAGCTGCTTTGAGTGTAGCACTGGGTATTCAGTTTTTTGCTGCTTCAGGACAGTTCTAGAGTAAGGTTCCAACACATTGTACAAAAGCATACCAATGAGACTTGCAGCCCAATAACAGCTGGATGTCTATGAATTGTCATCTTCTGCTGTACATGAGAAAAGAGGATCCAGTTCCCATTGGCTCACCCACTACGGATCTGAAATGTGTACGTTGGCAATTGGGTGCTTTCTTGGTCACTGGAGAGAAGTAACAATGGCTTTGGGCCATCAAGCAAAGCTCTAAGGATCTATGGCTCCTTCTTTCAACAAGTCCTATTTAAGGTAGGGGTGTGCTGAGCTGTGCAGTAGGACTTCATTTCCTCTTCTCAAAATGAGGCTGTAGTTCTAATGAACTGAGCAGGAAGAGTTGACAGAGACCTGCATGAATGCTGGGCCATAGAAACACATGAGGTCAGATGTGCTGCTGTGTGAGGACCTTATCAGGAGCCCTGCCCAATGCTTCCTCCCTGCTTCCATTTGCCCCTGCAAACAGTCACAGTGCTGTGTAATTCTGGGTTAGGGCACAGGAAGCATCAGAGGGGGAGCTGGCTTGGCTCATCATAATCTCCCATCCACATGAGGCAAGTCAATATTGCTGCTCCCATTTCACAGATAATATGGTAAGTGACTGATTTGTCTAAAAGTCCCTGAAGTTTTATTGCTGAAAGTAATGTGCCCTCCAATAATTTTTAATATTAAAAATAAGTCATTGAACCAATTTAGCATATACAGGATAATATAATGTGGACTCATTGTGGGGTCTACTTGATGCCATTGGAGAGAAGCACTTATAAATCAGAAGAATTCTGTATGCTTATTGGCACAGCATTGTAGACAATGTAGCTTTAGTTGGAATGACCTTTTACATCTTTATCATGGGTCCAGATACCCTTGTCTTCTGGCTATTTTAGTCTCCTTGACCACTCTCCTTTTCTGGAGCTACAGTAGTTTTGTCAAGATCAGACAGCGGGAATGTAGCTACTCTGGGACCCAGTCTCACCCAATTTGAAAGTTGAGGTGAGCACCCTTGTCATGGGAAAAACGGGTGCTGCAGATTATCCACCCATATCCTCTGGCAACATTTGTTACATGAGACATGCCTTTTTCATTCCTATTTGGGGTAATAAATCCTGTAAGCTATAACAAAAAGAACACAAAATGTTTAAGTTGCTGTTTTTCACTTTAGGACTTCAAAATCTTTTTTCCCCCTTCCCCCTTGCAAGCCATTTCAGACATGCTTGCACAGGTGCAGCTGGGAGATGTATACATGGCAGTGACTTCATATGGAAGCCGCTAGTCATGAAATCAAGGTGAAGAATCTCATTTGCACAGGACAAAAAACATTAATAAAAGCTGATGCCTGACAGTACTACAAGAAAATGTGGGAGGGTAGAGCAGAGCAAAATAATATTCCCTAACATTTACTATGTATGTGAGCATTTGGACATCATATATCCATGTTAACTTTCCTTTTCCCATGTCGAGACTTGGTAATGTGGTCAATTTAGCTTGCAAAGCCTTGGGCTCAAATCCCCATGTAACCTTAGAGGAGGCAGGCTTAACAATAATACTTGAAGAAGTGCAGGATAGAAAATTTGAAGAAGGGAGAGTAGACATATGACAGTGCTGGACATTGGAGCCTCATGGTGCAGTGATTAAACTGCAGTACCGCAGTGAAGACCCTTCTCACAACCTGAGTTCAATCCCAGGATCAGGTAGCTACTTCCATCCTTTTGAGGCTGGTAAATTTTGTACCTAGCTTACTGAGGGCAGCTGCAATATGTATCCTGTATAATTAAGTTATAAACTACCCAGAGAGAGCTTTAAGTACTATGAGGCAGTTTATAAGCAGCACTGTTTGAGAACTAGAATTACTATAGACCAGTGGTACCCAAACCTGAGTTCTCAGATGTTTTTGGACTATAACTCCCAGAAATCCTGGTCAGTGCAGCTACTGGTGAAGACATCTGGGAATTTTAGTTGAAGAACATCTGAGGAACCAGGGTTGGGAATCAGTGGTATAGACCAGTGGTTCTTAACCTTGGGTTACTCAGGAGTTTTGGACTGCAACTCCCAGAAGCCTTCACCACCAACTGTGCTGGCTGGGGTTTCTGGGAGTTGCAGTTCAAAAATATCTGAGTAACAAAGGTTAAGAACCACTGGTATAGACTATGGCCACCAAAATATATCGTAAAAATACAGCTGAATGATAGAACATCTGTCTTACAACAATTGTATTGATCAACACTTGGTTTCTGAGCTCAAATGAACATTTTGATATCCGGGTCTATGAGCTTTAAAGGTTGCCTTCATCTGAACGTGCCTTGCCTCTAAGACCAGCATTCAAGGTCCTATTGTCTGATCCACATTAGCAAGGATCCAATTAATGAACATTGACATTGAATTTCTCACTGACAACACCACAGTTACAGAGCTCGTTCCCTGGGGAGATCCTACATACTTTCTACTCTTCCATTTTTTAGATGATGCTTGAAAACATTTTTTCCTGGAAAACATTCGTATTAATTGTGATGTTTTTAGTGTCCAGTATCACACTGCAGGAACATGGTGCAGAAAGGTTCCCTCCATTCCAGCAGGTTTCCCCTTGCATGCTCATTCTCACACTGATTCTGAGACCGGTTGCGTAACTAGCTGTGTGAAGGAGAGCCAGCTGGAGTAAGGAGGATGGTCACACAACTGCTCTGTGTTTCTGCAACAGGCTGTTGGTCAATATGCTTTGCTGTTTTTTTCACAACTGTACATCTTAATACTTTGTTTGCTTTTCAATACTTTTCATTTTCTCTTTCTCTTAATGGAAGATGATAATAATAATCATGGGCCATCAGGTCAGGATTTCCCAGGTAAAGAACATTTCAGAAGAGGTTTACTATTCCATTCTTTTGTGGGTGCCCTGGGACTGTGCAGCTTGCCCAACGCCCCACAGGCTGGGCCTACTTGTAGAAGCTGGGAAAATAAGTTTAAAAAGTAGAGCATAAAAAAGGAAGGATGGAAAAATAACAGTTTACCATAGAGTTTATTCTTTCAAGATCCCGTTCTCTTCTGTAATCTAGCCCTTCCCCTATGTTTCTTATGTAACCTATTTGTGCTTGCAGTGCAGGCAGTGCTATGAAGTTCCACCTTTAAACCAAAGCTCACTCAATGGAAAAATACGGTCTTGGCAAACCCTAACTGTATGTCTGATATTTTTTTAAAAGCTCCCTTTTAATTGAATTTCCAATGGCGTTCCATTCTCTGACAAGCTGCAAAAACTTGTCCCTGCTTATTTCAAAGAACAAGGGAGCTCAAAACGCAGCATCCAATAAACATTGTCTTTCAAGGAAGGACCTGACTGAGGGGCACCAAAGAACAGCTGGGGACAGAATCAACGTCCTTAGTCAAAAAGCCCTTCTTCCAGCTGGTTACAGTTCATATTATTGGAGGTACACGGTTGTGCTGTTATTTTTTGATGGGGTTTCAGTTACATTACGTTCAGTGATTTATTACAAGGAGCCAGTGAAGGTTATTTTGAGCAAAGATCTTTTTCTTCTTAACTATAGATGGTCCATAGCCTGTCTGCTAAAAACTGTATATATGCATGCCTGCGCATGCATGCACCACACACACACACACACACACACACACACACAGAGACAGAGTTTTCTTGCGATAACAAAACACTTCATTTTACCTAAATTTCTGCACCAATACTAAATCTGTTGTTTATTTAAGTATCTTTTTGACTGGAGTACTAAGCAAAATCTCAGCATTCACGCTTTCTATAATTCCCTCATTTCCCCACAAGCTTGTGTGTATAACTTTAAGATTATATAACTCTAATTGCAGAGTTGCCTATATCCCCATGGAAACCACTAGGAGTTTCCCTTTTGTGAGGAAGGCAGTAACATCACTTCCTGTTGCTGACAAAAGAGTTTGTCAGTAAGAAGTGGCGAAAAAGGCCTGCTTAGTGTTGACAGGAACTTACTGCTGGATTATCTCGTTGCTATGCAATGCTACAAATACATACACACTTAACAATAAGTATTGTAATCATTGGTGGGGCAGGGAAGGCTAGAAAAAAGTGCAAACTGAAGGTAAATGAGCGAGAAATGATTTAAGTACACACAGAAATGCATTACCAGTTCATGATGCAGAACACATTACTATGTATGATTACCTAGAAAGTACAACGAACAAATATCAACATATGGCATACGCCAGGCTCAGAGAGAGAAACAGAGAGGAGGAGGAGGAGAAGAATAAGAAAGAGGAGGTGGGGACTGGGAGAGAGAGAGGGGTTAAGTCACACAGAATCAACCTAATATAGTGCCTGAAGTCACCCTATATGACATGGAAATAATTGCTGGAAAGTCAAATAATATCACAGTGAGTGAGACCTACTAGGTTAGTAACATCCTTTCCCCCCAGTTTGGCATGGTTTTAGAGGTACTGTATAGCAGTGGTCCCCAACCT